TGTTTGGCTACAGCTACTATACAATTTCAATAATGATAGAGTTGTAAATTGAGCCACAAAGAATTAGTCCGTAGATCTGACACTTGATGTGGGGGGGGGGGCAATTCTTCCCTTCTACATTTAATATTCCAAAGAAGGGCCCCAAAATGTTATTCACATACCCTTTCGAATTAACTCTGTCATAAGAGAATATTGCAACCTATGACCCTTCTAGCTTTTACTGCACACCTACACCAACTTTCCGGTTCTTTAGCGGTGTCTAGCAGCAAACATGTGTTGTGTGAATTTATGTAACCTTTGAAATGAAACTAAATTTTATCCGTCGTAAAATGAAGCTGAGAGTGAACTACATTGTCATGAATATGGTAGAAAAGGTAAAGTCGTCCATGGTATGGGGGCGTGGATGTATAGATCCACATTTTCCTATCCTTGGCATTAGTTGGCATTAGTGAGTGGTCAGTTTCACGCCCGTGCCGCTTTACCCCCGGGGAAAGAGCCCATGGTACATATTGAATAGGATGCTAAGTGGACCCCAGAGACGGTCTGGACACCGTGGAGAAAATTCTTGACCCTACCGGGACTCGAACACCGACCACTCGATTGTCCAGTCGCTATACTGACTATTTCTCAAAATTCGGTTGCAAAGTTAACCAACATGTTAGCACGAGACCCGCAAAAATAAGAATGTGGCCATGAGCCAAGTCGAGTAACATACCGTAAATACTTCCTTCTTCGTGGACTGCGTAGCGTCAGAGGTTAGGATGGGCTTGGAAGGAACTTGTAACTGACGCAATCCTGTAAGTCTCTGGAGGGACTGAGGAAAACCATGAGAAACATCGGTCAGGATAACCGGTGTCACAGTCCAAATTCGAACAGAGCACACCAACCCGTTCGGTTCGTGTATATATGCCGATAGTGACAATGCCACATTCCAACTGGCACGATTACGTCACTGCACACTGATCTCATTGCGTTTGTTTGTGTGTTTAAGGCTCTGTTATCAGACAGCGAGGAAGTGGGCAAATCTTCTACGTACAAATACTCGACACCCTGGTTTGGGACAAGTATAGGAGTTGCTGAAGGCAAGCCTACCTGCTACTGCCTGGCCGCTGCACTGCAGCAGTGTACTGACAAAGCCTACAGTGACCAGACGAACGCTACGGTCGAAATCAGTTGTGACGTCAGCGTCAACGGCGACTTCCTGCGAGAACAATCAACACCATTTTCTTTCAGAAATTATGAATTAATAACAATGCAGTGCCTACTTCTTGAGCACAACGTTCGTTAATAGAGGACTGCGTTCTTACAATAAATTTGCTATACATATCTAAAGGCCGGTCACGGTACCCGAGCGGCCTAAGGCATGCACTGTTCTCGCTCGCTCGGAAGTCGGAATCGTGGGTTCGAATCCCAATCAGGGCATGGATGTTTGGTATGTGTATATATTAATTCAGTGTTTGTGTTGTCCTGTGTTTAGGCAGAGGCCTTGCGAAGAGATGATCACTCGTCCAAGGAGCCCTACCGTCCGTAAAAAATTATTATGGAACTGAATAAGAGGCCAGGACCCTGAATAGCCTGGAAGAGCCATTGAAAAAAAAAGTATGTTTAGACCTAAAATATGACTGTGCGTACAAAGTAAATTTAATCTCACCTTATTCTCTGGTGCTGTGCAGGCGAGAACTGGAGAATCCGACGCAAGTTGATCGCACCCGAATTCCGCCCCTCGACTCTCGAATCTAGTGTTCAAATCCTGAACTCCAATTCGGAAAGACTGCTCAACAGACTGTCCACATTCTTGGGTGGTCCTGAGTTCGATGTGTATCCCTATATGAATTTGCACTCTATCGAAAATGTGTGTGGTGAGTTAAGGAGACGCTTATCATAAGGTGTGCTGGTAACAGGCCTAGCTTGCACCATGATGTCCTAACCACGAATTTTAACTTTCAGAAACATTTATGGGCGCGAAAATCAACGCTCAACAAAACAGTGGATCGGAATTCGTGAGGGCAATCAGCGCGTAAGTTCAATACAATCCATAGTCATGACTTTCTAAAAGCATAAGCATAATGATCAGTTTAGCAATTCACAAACAAGAGAAAATCAGAACTGGGACGGTAAACAATAGAACCAATTATGGTAACTGGATAAGCGATGAACTCGGTAAGTTTTCTCCGGGTTTTCATGGCACTCAAGGATTAACAAGATGGCTGCCTCAGAACTGTGCCAATAAAGAAACTAACCTTCAAGATCAGAAACAAAATTTGAGATGTAATAAGTACGTCTAATAACCGAGATTAACGGCCGTGGGGATCCGTTGCGCTGACCACACGACACCCTCTATCAGCTAAAAGTTCGCACTAACTTCGCCAACAAGCAGCGGTCGCTCGGTCGTTATAGTTCGCTTGCGGACTACAGGCCACGGAGGAAAAAGGAGGAATTGTTTCCAGTGTTAATGGATGGAAGAGTAATTTGATCTTGCTGCACGGATGCCAAGTTTAAATGTGAAAGTAACGTAGCATATGAAGGAGAAAATGAGAACAAAATAAGAGCATCAACTTTACTGGTCACTGTGATGTGAAGCCGTGTAGATTCGAAACGTTCTTCCACACTTCCTCCGTAATTAGGCCCCTATCCAGGAAACTACGGACGCGGTAGCGAAGTCGGCTCACACACTATGCTACTCGTACAAGCCGGATGATCGCTGGTTCGATTTCCTATGCGATCACTGGAATTTTCAATTGACCTAATCCTTCCACCCACACAATGGCCCCGGGATCGACTCACACCTAACATAAATGATTACCAGGAATCCTTCTGGGGGCAAAGTGCGACCGGCGCGTAAGGCTGACAACTTCACCGTCATCTGTGAGTCTACTATCTAGAAAATGCGGGATCTCAGCCCCATGGGCCTCCATGCCTGTTGCAGGGATAGATTTACCTAGCTTTATCTAGGAAAGTACACGACGTCCAAACCTAAAAGACCGTAATTTTGATACCAAACGTCTTGAGAACCTCAAATTCCACAGAGAACAGGAGTGACTATTTCTCTTTGAAATTAGTTTGAGTAGGACCAGTGGAACTTCCCCATTGCATGTGCCTTGCAACAGACACGCAGCCGGTTTGTGTCAAAGGCAAACAACATATCCTCTCTGCATACTGGTGCATCTATTTATTCTATTTATTCTTGTTTATAAAGTAACATCCCCTGCCATTTGTGATTAGAATTCGTCTCTTTCAACAGAGAGACGCTGCAAAACACAGAAGATTAATTATTTACATAAATATTGTTTCTGGGATGTGAAGACATGTTGTATGATTCATAGGTATGGACGTTTCGTAAAAATATGTTTCCTCCATATTCTGTTTTGAAGATGGAAGGAGTACGTGCCTCCGAAATATTTGTAGCCATAATCTACATGAAGTAGGAGCATCCCAGAGGAAAGTTAGCTTCATAGTCTCCAGCTTGTTAATTGCAACCTCATATTTCTTGACACAACAATTTTTGCAAGACGATTACCTTAGAACTGCTATAGTGTGATCACGTTTGGGCTTCCTCGGGAATAGACCAAAGCTAAGCGAGTATAGACCTAGACGCGATAGAAAGGGCACTTGGAGTTATTAGAGAAAATTGAAATGAATATGAACTTAATTCTGAAATCGCCCTTACTCTCGACTGTTCTGATTACAGCTGTTTCACTGGTTAAACCATCGTGTCTCAACCTACGGGAATAGTTTACTATTGTTTATAATGTACAGCAGTTGCTAGTAGTCGCAGTCTTAATCCTTATCATTGCGAATTTTTCTGATTGATTTTATGGGGCCCTTTTGTTGTGTCCAACAGTTCATCCCACTGCATGTACGCCCGGAGCCAGAACCCACTTCTGCACCCTGACCTGCTGTTCCACATGTCCTCTCTGGGGAGGCAACAAGCGAGATACCTGGCCACAGTGCATGCCACGAGCAAGGAGGCTGTGGAAGAGAGGGCGCAGCAACTGCTTCATGACAAGGGTGAGGGGACATGCCTAAGACAAGGCCATATGCACTGTACAGACCAGGGCCTAATTGAGGGCTGTGAGAATTACTTGAAACCATACCATATTTACTTGTATATTTGTAGAATGAACCAGTGTTTTGTTATATTAATAGAGTTATGCTACATATGCAAATTACGAGTATGTTCCATAAATGTGTCATTCGATATTTTGTTTGTTATCAAATAAATTAGATTAGGGTATTTTATTTGTAATGGATTTAACTGCACGTAGTCTGAAACCTTCTAGAACACTGATGAACGACTGGTAGCTTGTGTGGCAGTTTTGTGTTACAATTATTGTATTCAGTACGTTTAAGCACCGCCCAGTTTTTTCACTGACTGAAAAATATGGAGTTTTATATTTCAGAATAGATTTGTATGTGTATAAATAGCTTCCCGATAATTTTATTCGTTTTAATTTCAAAATCATGACAATCATTTTGTTTAAATTTCAATCTCTACTGGTCACTGCATGAACAATAACAATTCTTGTTCATTCTGAGAAGAGTATTCTTGTTTCCACAGATAAGTGCAGTAGGTAAAGCTATCCTTATAGACCTTAGTGGTCCATATGGTTGCGAGACGTCGAGGTTTTCACATTTTCTAAGAAAATCTACTTGCAGATGGCGGTAAATTTGTGAGCCTTACGAGCCGGCCGCCCTTGACCCCCCAGGAAGATTCCTGGTACTAATTTCTTTTAGGGGCTCAGTGGACCCCAGGGCCGTAATGTGGCTGGAAGGATTATGTAAAATGAAAAAATCCACCTCATCGGGACTCGAACCCGCTACCTTCCGGCTGGAAGCATAGTGTCTCAACCAACTACGCTACCGCATTATAATGTTGCTTTTTAGCATCCTGTTGCGGTTGGTACTAGAATTTATTTTTGGTTTTGTATACCTTCCATGATTCAACAATGACACGATTAAAATTAAACCCTTTTAAAATTCGACCAGGCACCACATGTTTCTCTTTACTCGGCCATCCTCAGATGCGCTGAAATTCGTGGGAATTGTTCTGCCTTCTGCGGTGGTGGGATCGGAATTTTCACATTTCTAATGTTTCTAAGTGAAGTCAATGCAGCTCCTCCTTACATGCCACGTGTATTGTCTCTGTAATGATAAATTACTTTAGTATTTTCTCTCCATGGAATATATTATTAATACGGTTAAATATGTACTTCTATTTTGGTGTATCTGCTGTCTATCAAGAGTCCAGTGTGGCTGTTAGGACGTAGGAATGCGTTGCGGACCTGGATCTGTTTTATATCTGGGATTGGGGCGGGTGTGTTTCAGATATGGGTTATAAGTATCCACGTATATGTCGGTCATGAGTAACCTGCCTTTATTAGTTTTACATAATTTTATTTTTCTTACATATTCGAGTATTTTCCTTTTTCTCTACTTTTATAAGGTCCATTGTGTCTGTTATAGTGCCATATGTTTGTCCAGTGTTCAATATTTGGTTTCAATATGAGGAATTGCCGTTTTTAACTCTAATTACCTGTATATGTTCTTTATATACATTTTGATATGTTCTACATTTTTGTCCTACATATGGACAGTAAACAAACCCAAATATGCAATCTGATTACTGTGACTATGTCTAATTCTTCCATTAAGTCAGCCCTCGTTGATATAAGCTTTTCTGCTTTATAGCAGCAACCATTTCTTCTGTCACATAAAACTAAAGAATTTCTAACATTTACAGCAAGTTTGCGCTGTGGACTAATTTTCAGAGTCCATGGCTACAGAGCTATATGTCCCGGGTTTGATTCCCGAAGCTACCAGATTTTCTGAGAAGTAGTGGGTCTGGAACCGGATCCACTCAGCCTCGTGAGGATAACTGAGGAACTATTTCAAGGAAATAGCGGCTCCGGTCTAGAAAATCTTGATTAACGGCCGTGGGGATCCGTTGAGCTGACCATGTGATACCCTTTATTCGCATAATGTGGGCACTAACTTCGCCGACAAGCAGCGGTCGCTCGGTCGGTATAGTTCGCTTGCAGACTAAAGCCACGAATTTTTTTTTGTTTTATAGCAAGTTGCATAGTATCATAATTGTATGCACTTTCTTCGGGTGCAAATGAATATGTCTGAAGGGTAAGTGCTCTGCTTATTAAGGACCTGTCAGTGCTATCACAGATAGCATCAGTTTTGCAAAAAAAAAAAAAACAGAACCAAGAAAGGGTAGCATAGTGGATCTGCCTTCTCCTTACTAGTAATATTAGCTACCACGCGCTATTTCACAATCTCTGCGCCTTAGGCAGCATTAGGTTTACAACATACACAAAGCTTCCCTTCACAGCAGCGTCTACTTCGTTTCCTTTCTAAAAAATATCCGTTGTTGGGTAGTTTACTTTTAACTAAACCCCTTGTCGTTACGAAACTTACTCGTGTATTTGCCGAGATTGGAATGTTTAGTGAAGTAATGTCGCTTATGTTATATTCTTTAAGCACTTAATTTATTAATTATAAACGGGAGGCTTTGTGTTCATTTTCGTAACAGAATTATTTTTTACGGCGAGGAGTTGTTAGCCCCACGCCCAACTCCCAAGCTGGAGGACTACCCCTTGTCGGCTGTTCGAGACTGCTTATTCAATATATTCGAAGCTTCCCTCCATATCTGGAGGGCGTCTCCTCCATCGGCAACCTGAGGACGCGCCATGCCGTGGTGACAGGGGACCCACCTAAAGTTTCCTTCTTTGAAAACACTCCGACCTTTATATTATATAAAACCACTCGCCACTGTAATTTCGAAACAATATCCTACCATACTTACGGACTTGAGCTGTGAGTTGTAACTACGGAACTGTAAGCAATCTTGCAGAATATCGGGAGCAGTCAGCCCGTCCCTCCACTCTCTTTGATCTCAGCAGCGAGTTAGGGCGGCATTCGCCTTCCTCCAACCCCACGTAGTAAAGGGACAAGTTCCTCCACACCTCCACTGCGTCGGCTCATTGCTGTGGATTCCAGTTCTGAGGTACCTCCTACGCAAAATCAATTTTCAGGTTGGAGAGCTCGGATTCCAATCCTGGATATGCTGATCGAGCTATCGAGAAATGACAAAGATTATGGACGCCTAGATGTGCGGGAGGAAATAGCCGCAATGCTAATTGTAGTAAGTATCGCTACAGAATGGCAGTGATGTCATATTCTTACGAACATAGAACCAAAAGTTACACAATTTGCACACAATAAGCACAAAATTCGACAAAAGGAAAGAATATTAAATATTCCTTGCATGCACTTATACAGTAAGATTAATAACATTAAGAAAATATGTTTAAAAATTTGCAATAGCCCGGGTAAATTGTGTTTATACTCACTGATTCTAAATTATTGTCGGGGTTTCCATTTATAAGCCACAGAAACGCCGACAATAATTTAGAATCACTCGGTATATTCACACAAAATTGCATATTTCTTGCAGAGTTATGAAACAACGGCCGTAGCACTGAGTTTCGCTTGCTGGATGTTGTCACAGCACCAGGACGTACAGGTGAGAGGGAGAATTAGTTCTGGAAGGGCGCTGTGAGCAAAACGCGCAGAGTGCCGTCAGTTTACACGGAAACATGTTTTCAGGAGAAAGTGCTGATGGAACAGAAGGAAATATTTGGCGACTCTGATCGTCCTGCCACCTACCGTGACATTCAAGAAATGAAGTATCTAGAAATGGTAATCAGAGAAACCATCCGACTGTACCCATCGCTACCAGTATTTGGACGAAAACTGCAAAGGGATTTCGATGTGGGTGAGTACAATTTAATTCTATTTCATCATTCAAATATATTGTCACGTGTATGTGTGACTACAGCCGGCGTTTGTATTGGTAACTGGATTTATTGAACACTTACAAAACGTAACTGCAAACATAGCGCTAACGCTAATGCACACATCAGTTCACTACCGCACGTACGAATTCTTCTCAGTCTGTTGTATCCTTACATTGTTGAAATGTAATTTTACCATTTCAGGAGATTTTGTCATTCCTGCAGGCGCAAATGTAATGTTTCTGGCTTACCAGATACACCGGAACCCAAAATACTTCCCGGACCCAGAGAAATTCAACCCGGACCGTTTCCTGCCCGACAACGTGATGAGAAGAAGCCCTTACTGCTATCTAGCGTTCTCTGCTGGACCTAGGAATTGTGTGGGTATGTTTACGTACGCTTTTAAGTTCACTGCATACCAGAACTTAGAAATGTACTTCAATCAAACTCTCTTTCCCATATTTTCACACTGCTAGACACAACTATTTCTCAAACTCGTTATCAATTTCGATTGACTCGCCGTGATGAGTGGTTGAGCCTACTGTTGTAGCGTTGGGCGTGCTTTTGCTGAAATGTCTTGGTGCACTCCTAATCTCTATTGTTGAATTGTGTGCACTTTCTACTGTGAACGACCAAGATTTCGGCCCTCACAATTTTCCCCTCCATCGATTTATTTTGAATGTTCATGATGTTTTAACATTGTTTACCCATTGAAGTACATTTCCGACTTAAGGACTTTCTTTGTAAAATAGATTTCACACTTGATTCATAACGGCAAATGTTAAATACGATTCAGAAACTTGAGTGAAGATAGCAGTACAAAAATCACTAAAATTCGTTTATTAATTTCAGAGGTGAAATATGAAGTCATAATGCATTCATTTCACATATTTCATGGAAACATGTATACAAATAGAGGCTTATAAACCGCGAATGACTACGCTGTAGATGTGAGCTTGCATTTCCTCATTCCAGTCATACACTTCCTCCGAAAGAGACGTCCCACAGAATTGCTCTACCTAGAGCAATCTAGAGATCTACCTGTATAGGTTAAGCGTAAATCAAATTTCTCTACAAAGTATTTAAGTGTGAAGCACGCAAACAGGATGATACATTCAAACATTCGTTTGAGCCGGGATAGCGCAGTCGGTATAACTACTGGCTAGGGCCGCTGGACCGTCGAGGGATTGGAATTCGAATCCTGGTAGGGTTAAGAATTTTCTCTTCTCCAATCGGAGAGCTCTTTCCCCGAGGGTAAAGCGACCGGGACGTGAAGCTGACCACTCACCTCCAACTAGTGCCAATGTCAAGAAAATGTGGATCTATACATCCATTCCTCCATACGTCTTCATGACGTTAGCTTAATTAGTTAAGCACAAGGACAAATTTACTTTTTTACCTTTTTATATTACAACATTTAGGTATTAAACAACTACCAAGGTTTCGAATCAAGACTGCCCTTTTGTAGTTGTAAGGACATGTCTTCAGGGGCACTGTATTCAAGAAAATGGCGACACCTGTACAAAAGGCGATGCGAAACGAGTCCTGGGGTTCAAACCGTTTAAAGGAATCAAACCTGCGAGACAGGCGCGACTGCACAATCGGAGGTCGCAGTTGATCCAACAAAAGGAGGCCGCCTCCGTACTCTCGCCATGATGCGAGGGATTTTGTGGAAAAAATTTTGCCAAGGTCGCTGGGCCTTACGAACTTAAACTTCTTCCTCTGTGGATATTCATGAAGCATCTAGTTTATATGACACCAATGTCTGCCATATTAAATTTCGTCAAAACCAGAATGAGATAAAAAATGTAAAGTTATCCCTGTAACAAGCCGTGAAGGCCCATAGGGTTGTGAGATGTTGAGGATCCCACATTCTCTAGACAACTGGATCACAGATGGCGGTAAGGTTGTCAGCCTTACGCGCTGATCGCCCTTTATCCCCCAGGAAGATTCCTGGTATTCATTTCTGTTAGAGACTGAGTCGACCCCAGGACCCTAGTGCGGCTGGAAGGATTAGGTCAATTGAATAGTCCACCTCATCCGGACTCGAACTCGCGACCTTCCGGCTTGTAGCATAGTTCCTCAATAAACTACGTTACCGCGTACTCCACCAAAGTGAGATATGCTGTTGAATCAGTCATATCCAAATGCTGCAAAATGTATGGATGGAACTGTATAATGTACCTAATACGTACAGTTGGGAGTGTGTAACACAGTGACACTTGTATAGCTCCCGTACTGTGAAACGTGTAGTCTACTGACAAGAGCGTGATTTGATTTGCGAAAAGGGTTATAAATTCTGAAACCCCGCAATATTGTTATAATTAATTGTAGCCGTGATTTGTAGGTTGTTAAATAAACCAATTAACAATCCGAACGGCGTCGTGTCAGAAGTGGGATTTGGACTTACACACGTGACCGACAAGATTCGAACTCAAGACACGTTACATTTGGTGTCAGAAGTGGTTTACGAACTTCAACACGCATAGACGGATAATTGAATTTACGAGGGCATAAAGTGTTATCCTGAAAGAAAATGGGCACACAGCAATTGTTGGAACTCTTGCGGAAGGAATTGCGGGCCCAGAGAGAAGCTGCCGAGAAAAGGGCTGACGAAAAGTGGAAAGCCTGGCGAGAAAAGATGGCCGCCATGCGAGAAGAGCTGGTCGCAGAAACGGAAGCCACCAG